CTGATACAGCACAGCTTGATGGTGTTGTTGAATCCTGAACAACGGCTGACTGACGTTTCAACTTTTTATTCGTTCTGATCTGGTATAGTTTGTTTTTTCTTAACATTCTTGAATGTTTAGCACTGATACGGTCCACTTTGGGTATATATACCGAATGCATAGAAAGTTGTACCGTATATGAATGAATGCCTCCATCTAACAGACCTTTCAAAAACAGCAGTCACAACATCATTGATTTGAACTGTAGGAATCACCACAGTTTGCTTAATTCTTCTGCGTGACTGAAGCGACAACCTTTTTGCTTTTAATAAATCTTTCCTGAACAATCTTGCTTTTTTTGCAGAAGTATTAACCATTATGATATTTTCTGAAGGTTGGCTAAAAGTACATCACAATGCTTTTTGATTCAAAATATAATAGTATAATGATTGTGAATTTACTTGTGAAGTATTATCCTAAGTATTGACAGAATTGGATCTAAATATGGCTAAAATTCTTATGTTTATCAAATATTTATTATTAGTTATAATATTGTCTTCTTAAAAAAGTGGGATCTGATATACTTGTACAATATTATGGCATATCAAGATTTTTTCATTTTATATCCAAAATAATTTCCTACGGTACATCTGTATTCTTTTTTAAGAATACTTTGATAATTTTGGGGTACTAATTTACTTAATGGCATAATTTTTTTTTTCTAATTTGATTATTCTTAAACTTTATTTCATAGCTAATTTTTTTTTAACATTCATGGTAATGCATTAACTAATATACGTTGTTATAGTATATAAAATAAATTATACATGTACTAAAAAAAGTCATAAAAAAGATAACAACAATATTTAAATTATTAAGTTTGATCTTTATCATTCGATACTAAAAATGTAAAAACCTTGGAAATTGCATTGTTTTCATCAGAATAAAATAAAAAGCACACGAGATAGTGTCTACAGGACTTCTATAATCAGATACTCTTTATTACATGCTTTGCGAGCATCTATACAGAACCCTAAAGTTATACCTAAAGGTATTTTCTTCAAATCCATCATGTACTTTATATCACCTTCAATAACAAACCGATGTGGATTGTCATTAGTCACAATTCGATGCATGTTAATTACTGAAACTCCATCATAGTATAAAATAGCATTTGTGTAGTCATCTAACTTCAATCATCGTACTATATGCCAGGGTATCTCCTGCAATATCATCTAAAAAATTGTTTATAATTGAATAATTTAATTTGAATTTTACTGGTAGTAAATTGCTATCAAACACATGTTATTACCAATCTGCTATGCTGGATTACAGTTTCAGTCATGACTGCAGAAAATGTGTTCTGATCACCGTTGCTGCATAGATAATCCACTGTGTCAACTTCACATGAATATAAATTAATATTAGTATTAAAATATGTATTATGATAATAATGTTGGTTGAATTCAGTGAATTAAATATTAAAAAAATAGTAACTACAAATCTTCGGATGTATTCGAATCAACAATATCTAGGTTGCAGCAGTAACCTTCATTGTTGAAAAACCTTAAATGGAAATACAGATTTCCAGTGTAAATAACAATTACATTCACACATTTTATTCTGTTGTAATAATAGTCATGAAAATCCTCCCACATCTGGCCTTCAAAACTTACTGGATCGTTATTTTCCTTCATGATCATAAACTCCCATTGATTGCGCTTCAAATCATCACACTTTGCTGTAGTTTGATTTGAAGGCCAATCAATACCAGAAAAGTAACATTTTTGAATGACCTGAAACTCATACCCAGTGATTAGTCCATGTATATGTATTATAAAATAGTTTTTTAGTGTAAAGGACTAAGATAAATAAAAAAACAAAGGAATTGTAAAAGGCAATAATACTTAGAACTTACAGCTTGTTTGGATGTACTATCATCTAATCTCAACAGATAACGGTTACTAGTTCTTGCATTAATATCTGGGTGAATCCTTTCACATCCATCATAATTAAAATGAAATAACTGTATCACATTCAGGGATCTGTGATAAACAACATTAATTTTGGATCAGGAAGATACACCAAACTCCTTGAAAAAGGCTTCCAGACGAGATCCATATAACTGGCATCTCCTCTTCTTAGTGATTTGTATATTTGCATAAAAATATCAGTTTTCTTGGAAATCAATCTTGATCTGTTTTCTAACATGTCTCAGAATTGAAGTTAAGTTACTGCTAAGAATCTAATAATTTACATAAAACTGGTTGTCAGTAAGAAATTGATATAATCGATCATAATATGATTAAAAAATTACAAAAGACTTACTAATCCTTTCCTGCCAATGTTTATTGATACACTAATCAATTGATCATAAGCCTCTTCCATTGCTTACTTCTATCTCCAATGCAGTCTGTATAGTGATCTCAGAGTCTATGTGCAATATGATATAAAAAGGGCTTATGGAGTCTAGTTTTTTTTTGTTGTGGAAATTTGATCTTTAATGATGATTTGACGGGAAAAGCATAGATATACACTATCTCCTCTTTATGACACTTAAAGATAACCCCTAAAAAAAGGAGATTTAAAAGATCAGAACAGTTTTCTTTTTTTTTTTAAAAAAAAAAAAAAGGAATCAGAACAGTTGTAAAAGAATCATAATATGCTTTGTATGTAGCTTCGTCTCAAATCCACTTAAAAATAGGAGTACAATGTATCTCCACTTTTTTAGGACCTGGAAAAATATAGTGTTTTTTTTTCTTTTAAATCTCTAAGTAAAACACAATTAAAATACTTTTTTTGAAACAGTAATTGATGTCTGATGATTTAATGTTAAATTGAAAATTATTTCTATTCCACAAAAGTAAAAGCAAATTGCCAATTCAGATACATCCATTTTCGCCTAACAAATACAAATTGTATAAAGTAAATTAGAAATCAACATCATTTTTCCTTGGTTGGACACTATCCCTGTCTAAATGAAATTCGCATTGACTTCCACTTGTAATAGAATTCTCATTGAGCAATTGCATCCACTCCCCCGAAATTTTCAACTGGCAAACCCTCTTTCCAATGTACCTTTGATCATATGATTTTTGGAACTTCATTGTGTAGGGTCCTGCAGTAGTATGTACACCTGCTGTCCTTTTGAAGACAATTTTCTTGTGACGTCTCCAAAAATGTGCAGGAACAGTTTGGTAAAAGAAAAAATATGTAATTTCAAAAACCTTCATGTCCGTAATATACAGGAAAATGTAACTTTAAAAACACTGATAATATAACTCACAATTGCTCTTTTTTTGCAATGGTTATCACTAATCTGTATCTAAAAATGGCTTTTTTCTATGATTGTTATACGACCCTCAATCTCCACTCTATTAGCTTTGAAAAAGTGCATTGTAAAACGCATATTCCCATCATATTTAAGAACGGTGAATTCACATTCTTGTAATTTTTCATGATGGTCTTCTAACAGTTTCTTCCACTCCGTACCAAATAAGTACAATTTTGTTGTCATTATCTCCTTCCATATAAGCTATGTCAATTGTACAGGTGTAATCACCATATTCAATTGACCAGTATGAAGAATCTTCATTGTTCACAACATGGTCTTCCATCAATAAGTTACTATAGAATTCTAGTATGATCTGTATCAAATTGTTTTTTGTATAAAAGTAACCATTGTAATTTTTAATACAAAATAATACATATTCAATTAATGTAAAATCGTAAACTAAAGAAAAATTATAAACTTATCATACCATCCTATCTTGTATGTCTTTGAATCTGTCCCATAACAATCGTGGAACCGCATTGTGACAAAGTACTTTGCTGCGGTCAAAAATATCTACTTGAACAATCCCTGATTGCAAAACAGAGAAATATAGAGCATAGTATGTGAGCAATTTATGTTTTGTTAAGAAATATACCCATGACTTCCCTGCACAAACAATTGATGTTTGTGTGTTGTTTAGTTTGCATGACACTGTATAATGTCCTTTGTTACTGGCAAATTGAATGTCTTGCACTTTGTTGTTGATCTCAGGAAAAGCGCTAGCCAGAGGTATTGCCTAATAATAAAATTTTATTACATACGTGTGTAAATTATTCATAGTGTTTAGCACGAATAAGAAAACACAAAAATAAAGCTTTACTTGACCCAAGGCAAAACCTTCTGTGAGGATAACAAAGCAGTGTTTATCCATGACGAACTCTGAAAAAATATTTATGGAAATCTGAGTATACTCTTTGTATCTGTTTGTTATTGAAAAATTATGAGACTCCTGTGGGAAGATATCTTTTTTATAACGATATGTATATAGATGTATATATATATATATGGAAGTTATATCTGTGAAAACAATTGAATCAGGAATAATATAATAATGAATAACCTCATGATTTGTAGGACATCACAACCTTTTTTTTACGTGATCTTTACAAATTCCAGAATCAATATCTTATTTAAATAAATTGTATAAAACTTTTGTTTCACTGTCTTGTTTGTTTTCATCTTCTTATACTGCAATTCCTAAAGTGTCTTATCCAAAGCATCTGTTTTAATGTTTAAAATTAAGACAATTTATTTACCATGATTCATAATTTATAACTCTTATGACTGCATATTCACCCTGGAAGATTTTAGGCTACTGCTTATATTTTATAAACTACTAATCAAAAGTTAAATTATTGTTTATAAAAGCAACTGCAGAAGTAAGTGTACTTTTTCCGATCTCTCATATTCTGGCAATCATATTAATAAAAATCTTTAACGCATCAGTAACCATAATAGATTATAATAAAACCAAATAATAGTAGATATTAATTAATGAACAAAGGAATCCTCAAAAAACAAAAGAAATTAAATATCCAAAACACCAAAACAGTATAACGGTACTGGAAAAACTCTAAAAATAACAATGTTTCATCAGAATAACAATTCTGGCAAAGAAAACACCTTAAAAAACTAAAGTGCATGTTTATTGTTGAAGCAGGAAATACTCGAAGTGCTTTCATGGACATCAAAGTTTTCTAACACATTTGTTGAGATTGGATTTGATACTCTCTTCACCGCAACTTCCTGCATGTTTGTTTTTTGGAGGAGGACTGTCAGTCATATCGTTGCCCAAATTCCCTATCTCTATATCTCCAGTGCAGGATACTGCAGTCTGCAAACAATGGTTCATGTGAGTGTTATCCAAATCTTGCTATTTCATAAATAGTAAATATATTTGTTACTTACAATATACCTTGGCGGTGCTATCCTCAGTAGATGTCAAATTTTGGTAAAACTCTGCACACATCTCCGAATCAATCTCCTGTTTAGAATAAATAAAAAAAGTAAGGTTATCATGTGCATCTTTTTTAAATCAAGTGCAAATCTATGTAAATGTATATGAAAATATAAAAAGGTGACCAAACCTGATCTTCAGAAACATCATCAAATGTACTTCTTGATCATTTCTGCATCAGTAGTAATCCTAGCAACAGAAATCTCACTACTAATGTTCCTAATATTGTATTTAGAGACATCCAGCCTGAACAGACATTTCTTGCCAACAATCTCATATAGTATTTTAGGGTAATCTTTTCCGACCTAGAAACATGTAGATGGTCATAACGTAAACATACATAACTTTTTGTAATAAAATGTATGCATTAAAATCAATGAATAAAACTTGTTCACGAAGTTTTTCTGGAGTCTTATTGATAAAATTGTACACCATCCTGTCCCAAAGGGTCAAAATTCTACTTCCAGTAGCATCCATTGCATACACATGTAACTTGAACCAATTCATAAAATTATGTAGGAAAATAATTAATAACAGAGTAACTAAAACATTAAGAAGTTTGATAACAAAATATTAAATTAATTTAATTACAAAAACAGATTGTAAATTATTAAAACATACTTTGAATCAACAGCAGACACAGGGCCATGATTACCACAAAATCATTTTTTCTCAAGTCCAAATTTCTTGTTGTCACTGGTATTTCTTCTTTTTGCTGATGGTACAATACGGGTACCTTTTTCTTTTTCAATTTCCTCCACCTTCTTGTTGCAATCTCTGCACCCAATGTATGACCATTCATACTCTTTTGCTAAGCTTGTGATCTTGTCAAAAATCACAACATACCCTGCCTGAAAAATATGTTTCTATCTGTTTATACCTTCATAGATCATGGAGATAACATACTAATGTATACTGTTTAAGGGATTATCACTATTAATATGTTACCTCATCAAGATCATCTATGTCACCCAATGACAAAAGTTTTGCTCCATTTATGAAATTTTCATAAGATGTGTATCCAGAAATAGATAACAGCATTGAAATTTTATGGACACTTGCAGCTTTCATTTCATGGGCACTACTTCTGTACATATTGTTTCCAATTAATTACAATGAGAATAAAACAATAATTATGCAACTATATAGAAGTTATATTAGGTCGTAAGAATAAATACCTGTGTTTGTACTCTTATATGTCAGGTATTGCCATATCATCAAGATATATCTTTCCATTGAAAAGATCAGTAGTAACAGAAGCTTTTGCTGTTACATATTTAAAAGGTACATGATGATGATAATAGTTTATGAAAGTTTCCTTGAATATGAGTACATTCAATTACATCAAAGGAAAAAGATTACTCACAGTAGTATTTTTTTCACTTAACATATTGAACAATCAGGACCACAGGAAAGAGAGGATTTTTAGACATGTATTTAGTGACTTGATCAGCGTGTTCCCCCCACAAAGTAACCTTTAGCCTGTCAGCTCTGCAAAACGAAAGACATTTTTTTAGTATGTATGTTATAACTCCTACAGTATAATGCAATATAAATAATTAGTGTTTACACTGTAAAAAAAAACCTAAATTTCACCTTTCATCTTCAAGCTCTACTGAAATCCTCTTCTTTCCATTTTCAACAATTGGATCACTGTAAGTCATGATGTGGCCTATCAAATTTACATAATTGAAAATATTTTAAATTTTTGTATCAGATTTGTATACGGGAATTTCACCATATTTGTAAATGCATCTTACCAAAACAATAATCAAAGTTGGCCACAAAGTTTGTAACTTCTGCCAATGGTGTGAACTCAAACACATGATCTGGGATGTCAAAATCAAATGCAGCTTCAACATTTGTGTTTGACATGAACACAATTTTGTATTCATGCTTAGCACACCTGAATCCCACACTAATGTTGAGACAACTGTCAAATCTTGATAATTTTCTAACACAACCTTCTTTGAAAGAATTTGCAGAATCTTTCACAATTTTTCCCGGGATGGTTGCTTTTGCATACAAATAGATTATAACATCTACTGCAAGAAAATAATTGTGCATGTAAAAACTATAAAAATAATTATGGTAGAATAGTGAATACCTGAGCATCAATCAAATACATCTCAACAGACTTCATTTTGTTTTTTTTTTTTTTTGGATACTTCTGGAACCTCCCAAAGTCTCATCACTTTGACAACTATATTGAAATGGTTGCTTTTTGTATCAATCAATCCATTGATGTCAACGATGTATCTTTGTGCAGCAAGTATGGGAACACTTGTAGCACCAACATCATTTGGTGGTGCAGCAATGATATCTTCAAAGGGATTCACCACCGAATTGTTAACTGCATTTTCATTCACAGTTTCAACAGTATCTGATGGTTCAACAACTGGCATTTTTTTTTTTTTTTGGTTTGGTGGTATAACAATAACATCTTCAGATGGGATGACAATTGGATTATTCACAGCATTTTCATTCACAGTTTCAACAGAACCTTTAGGTTCAACAACTGGAATTGCAGTTTGGTTTGTTTCAGCCATTGGTAAAATATGGCTAATATGAGAATCTGAAAAACTGGTTTTTGTGAATTGCAGGAACGGTATGGTGCAGGCTCTGTGAGGAGAGTAGATGTATTTATACAGGTAACATATTGACTCATAGCACATTTGTGTTTATTTATTAATTTGGGATGATAATGGTTACTGAAAGGCAAAGATTTGAAGTTTGTTCTGTGATTGAAAAATGGTTGTTGATATGCACTGAAAGCTTGCAGATATATACGTCTGTGTAAAGCACATATTGATTGATTTTTTTTTATTTCCAGTATAATTCCTTTCAGAGGAATCCTTTTAGAGTTTAAAATGCATTACAATTTCCATAAGTCACCATATAAATTGAATGATATGGTGATAATTATACAAAGTATGCTCTTTTTTAGTTTGTGTTAACTGATGAAATTATCCCATTAAATAAGGGATATGATGTGATCATTTCTTTTTTTACACAGGAATTTAAAGATGGAAAACACGTTGACTATGTTGATTCTGGGGAAGTTGATTAAAAGACGGTTAATAAAATCGTGGGATAATTACTGTGAAAAGAATAATATATGTAGTAAAAGACTATCAAATCTTAAAGATTTACGGACTATTTTTTGATGTTTCTATTTTGTGCCGATATGTATTATTTAATTCAGTTACATGCTCCAGATTTACTGCTGTTTTATAGGAAAACTTAACCCACGCAAATAGTCAGACGTAGATAATTAGTTTTTTTCCTAAAATAAAGGATTTTGAAATTTAAATCTTTCAGTTTAATTTGTACATTTGAAAATGGACTCAGAACCGAAATTTTCTGCAAATATATGAAGTCACGTGACATATTTTCCTTGATTCAGTTTTGTACTGAGAAGTGCTAAGAATCTTTGGAGGAAAAATTTTAATTATGGAGCGGACACGTGTCTTTTGTATTTGTTGCTTTAAATAAGTACTATAGATAAAGATATAGATTAGTACCTGAATTGAACTTGGCAAGAAAATTGTAGATTTTTCAACAAGAACCACGAATTGCTACATTCAGAATTTATCTCTTTTGAACGAGATGTTCATAATTACTTACAAAGTGGGAAAGTTTTTTTTTTTAAGAAAAAGAAAAGAAAAACCAAATACAAATTATACAATATTACACCCAACCAATAAGGCAAAAAGAAAAAAAAAACTGAATATATTACCTATGCAAAAACCTACTCTCAAAAAAAGAAAAGAGAACTAAAAAATGTTAAAAAAATGAAAAGAAAAAAAAAAAAAAAAACCCCCAACACTCCAAAGGGGAAAAAAAACATATGCCACCTATGACATAACCAATTCAAAGTCACATAGAACAGGCACATATGACATAATAACCAATTCAAAGCTACAAAAAGCTAAAAAATTTGCACAGCTCCTTAGTTTAAAAAGCTAAAAACCTGGATCAAATTCACATGATCAAAGAGGTTCTTATTCTACAATGGGTCGATTTGAGTGATCACCATGGGGCTCCGAACCACGTGTTTTCCATCCACCCAAGATAGTGATCCGAATACAGCCCCCGAGTTACCAAGTACCAGATTCTTACTGTCCGCCGTCACGCTAACATAGTAACTCAGTTTCCTTATCTTCTCCGTGAACACCAACTTGGACGGCTTCACACTCACACTCACTCCCTTCGGCGCCTCTATTTTCGCCGTATAAACTGCGTTCGCCTCGGCTCCGACGTTAGTGACCGTCCGGAAGAACGTTTTGGTCGACACTCCGGTGGAGCCACTTGAAAACAAAGCGGCGATGGACGGGTAGTTCAGATTCTCCGGGAACGGCTTTCTCGCCGGGCAGCTCACCGGGGCTTTTGTGATCACTTGGATTGTCTTTGGCCCGTATTCGATTCCACATAAGAAGTTGACGTAATCGTTATTGGTGAGATCGTAAACCAGCCCAGGATCCATGGCGAGGTCCAGGTTCAAATGACCCGCCCCGAAATCGTACGGGGTGGATGGCTTGCCCGTGGATTCATCAACCATGGGATGGAAACCGTTGTCGATGACGCTAGATGTCGTCATCATCGCCGACCTGATCGCCGCGGGGCTCCAGTCCGGATGGGCGGATTTCAGCAACGCCGCCGCGCCGCTGACGTGTGGGCAGGCCATTGAAGTACCCGACAAGATGTTGAATTCGGTTTTCCGGGTATCCAAATCGAGCCCCGTCGGACCTACAGCATCGGTCCACGCAGCTAAAATGTTGACACCCGGAGCGATCAAGTCCGGTTTCAGTATCTCCGGGTTCAACCCGTTGGGTCCCCGAGCCGAAAAGGAAGCCACAACCGGAGCCGGCTTGACTCCGACCACAGTGCCGCCGAAATTAATGGTGGCGGTGGCGGAATGAGATGATGCGTATGCCTTAATGGCATCACCCTCGGTGGTCCCCACGGCACAAGCCGGAAGTAAATGAGCATCTCCGACTAAGCCTTCTCCGTTAGTTACTCCGTTCGCCAGAATCATACCCACGCCGCCGGCCTTCTTCACAACCAGCCCTTTCGCCACCCTGGGATTGCTGCCGCGATCGCAAATGACGATCTTGCCCTTCACGCCACTGCTGTCCAGTGAGTTCTCCATACACAAGGAAGTTGCAAGTACTCCCGATTTACCCGGGTAAACAACCGGGTACATTTTGCCGTTCAACGGAGCTCCGGCATAAAGCGAGACGCCGGAGAACTTCCGACCATCTCCGAGGATAATCTCGGCGGGGAAGTTTCTGTCTATGGTGCCGGCGCCTACGGTAGTGAGCCAGGGGGCCAAGTTGGTTACGGACATTGCATTAGGCCCATCGTTACCAGCTGAAGACGAAACGAAAATACCCCTGGAAACGGCGCCGTATGCCCCTATGGCGATGGGATCGAGGTAATAAGGGGAAGAAACGCCGTCGCCTCCGCCGATGGAGATGGAGATGACGTCGACGCCGTCGGTAACGGCGGCATCAAATGCGGCGAGGATGTCGGAATCGAAGCAGCCGGCGTCCTTCCAGCACACTTTGTAGACAGCCAGTCGAGCTTTGGGAGCCACGCCTTTGGCTATTCCGGCGGCGTAGCCTTCCATACTGGCTTTAAAAGCATGGCGGCCGGCCGCCGTGGAGGCGGTGTGGGTCCCATGCCCGTCGGCGTCTCTCGGGGACTTAAACTCAACGGTGTCGTTAATCCCACCGCCAATACCGCCGAACCCCGGCGGCGCAGCCTCATGTCCTTTGGAGAAAAACCTCGCCCCAACAATCTTCTTGTTACAATTCCTCGCCGTGAACCTAACGCCGGCCTGGCAAACCCCTTTCCATCTCGCCGGAACAGGACCGAGGTTCAAATCGGAGAAACTCCTCCGTTCCGGCCATATTCCGGTATCAAAAACACCGATGATAACGTCGGAGCCGTAGTCGGATTCGGACCAGAGACCCCTCTGGTTACGAAGGCCCAGGAACTGAGGGGAGCGGGTGGTGTGGAGGTGGCGCCGGCGGTCTTCAAAAGCGGCGAGGATAGCGGGATGCTGTCGGAACTCAGCAGCTTGTGCCGGGGTCAAAGAAGCTGAGAAACCATGGAAAACATTCTCGTACACGTGGAGGATACTGTCAGAGGAGGAAGACGATGATGATGCAGTGGGGGTGGTGGTGGTGAAAAACTCAGAAGCGTACCAATGGTGATGGGTGGGGAAAACAGAGGGCTTAATGAAGGAGGAATCAACTCGGAAAATGTAAGTCCTCTTTTGGGTTTCAGAATCATATAATACAGCTGATGATGAAACAGCCGTGGATAAAGTAATGAGTAAAAGTACAAGCAGAATTGGCAGAGCAGCCGCCATTGAAGGGAGGAGGAGGAACTGAGCTGAGAGCTAAAAGAGTGATGTTGAAATTGGAACATCCATATATATATATATCACTTTCCAAAATGAACTCGGATTACATAAACTCTTGGCTTCTACTTCTAAATCTTAATTGGGAAGAGGGGGAAATCGGACAGTGATATAGAATAAGGAAGATGATGATTGCAAAAATGGGTGGAAAATCTGGGGCCTCAAATGCAAATGGGTCTTATCTTTTATTCTTTTCCCTTTTCTTTTTTTTTTTTTGGGTTCGTTTTTCCTGAGTTTGCTTTTCGCCTTTTCTGGGATGATGGACCAATTTAATTAATAATTGAATAATTAAAGTAGTAAAAAATTGTGCAAGGCAGGTTTAACGGGAGGATTTCCCGGGGAAAAGAGAAAATAGTAGTACTACTTAACAAACATAAAGTGTTGGGAATTTGAAATGGGGTTGGGATATAAGTCTGTCGCATCTTGAAAAAGTACTTGTTGATTTTTTGACTGATGGTGGTAAGACCTTTTTTTTGCGGGAGTACCAAAACCTGATCAATTTGATTCAGTCATTCAGGCGATATTTCCCTCCAACCACACGACGCCGCTTCATTACTCTCCCCATACAACATTGTAGTTTTTAGATTTTTTTTTTAGGGAAAAAAATAAATAATAAATATTTCCTCCGTCATAAAATTATTGTTCTGTTTGAATTTTTATTTTTTGTACAAATTGAATTAAAAATAAAATTCAAACTGAACAATAATTTTAAGACGGTGGAAGTATATAATAAATTACGGAGAAGGGATAATATGAATGTGTTCTGTTTACTTATAATAATAAATTTATTTTATCAAAGTAAAAATAATGTACTATAATAAAACAGACTATTGAAATGCAATAAACAGTTGAAAATGAATTACTCTACTAAAACTGTGCAAATTTTGTCAAATGTACATAATACTAACTAGTTACAATGTTGAATTCACAGCCGACAATTTCAAATTTTTCCCAACCTAACAATGGTACGAAAGTCTGGAAACAATTGTGTAATTCTAGGGCTCAACCTAAACATAAGCTTCTCGTCTAGAGAGTTTTAACTGATGCTTTGTCTATCATGTCAGCTCTTTCAAGAAGATGAATACTTAGCAGTACTGGATGTCCTAGATGCTTGGCACCTTATGAGGACGGTCTCCATCTTTTCATTGATTGCCCGTAGTCTCGAGCACTCTGGGATTTAACTTACCCAACTTTCCCTCAAGCTTTTAATCATGGTCAATCATCCATCTCGGAATGGTTCACACAATGGATTCAATTACATCCCTCATCTCTAGAAATTGAGATCTTCATAATAATATTATGGTGGATCTGGATTGATAGAAATGACAAAGTTTGGAGAAACAAGATGATGAATACTACCATCCTATGGTGCCAAATTCAAAATGATTACTCCATCCATAAAAAGCGTATCCATGGTCAGAGAAGAAACACCCAACCCGACACAACACACAGGGCAGAGGAAGAGGATGATCATGCTATTATTTTTTTCAATGGATCCTTTGATCCAATTACACGGAAGGCAGCAGGAGCATGGAAGATTGTGTCACCGACCAATGTGATAATGCAAATGAAAGCAGTTACATTGCAATCACTATCCCTATTCCAATCAGAAACAATGACATGTCTTTTAGTGCTCAAAAAAGTATCCAAGTTTGGCCTGAATCGAGTTAAAGTGCTTACGGATTGTGAAATGCTAACTCTTAATATTCACCGTTCTCTTTTCCCGGTAGAAATTCAAGAGATTATTTCATTAGTAAATACTTTATGTGCGAGTTTTAGTTCTTGTAAACTGACTAAAGTTAGCAAAAACGACGTCAATAAAGTTCATAATTTAACATATAGTAAGATGTGTTGTAATAGATCAGGTCCCATTTTAATATATTCGGGTACTTTTCCTAAAAAAAAAACAATGTCGAATACTATCAAATAGTACTCGTTCTCAGTTCTCAGTTCTCACGAGATAAGGTGGTGGTGGGCCCGGCGCGCGGTGGGGGAGGGGGTCTTAGCTTAATCCGTGAAGTAGGTATCAACAACTGCTTATAAAAGCCTAAAAGTTTAAAGCCATAAATCATAATAAAACTTAATCATATCACATTCTTTCCCTTTAATTATTGTGTCCAATATGACAAAAAGGAGGTAAAATTCAAAGCATGGTCGTGGGAACCATATGAGTCGCTTTCCTAGTTCCCTTTTCATATGCGGAAGAAACTAACAAAAGGACTAACTAATTGAATTTACCCCTTTTAAGTTGCTTATACTATGCACTAGTAGCAAAAAAAAAAAAAAAAACTGATCGGTTTCATTGCATAAAATGAAAATGGAGGGCTAGGATTGAGTAATTCATCTAATTTAGTTATGAGTTGTGACAATTACACTTGTTCAAATTCACTCTTTAAACCACCCAAATTTTAGAAGCTGATTGGATCCAAATTGTTAAACCGATAATCGAATGTCAGCTTTAAAGGGTATTATTTTTTTTTTAGAAAATAGGAAATCTTGAAGTAGTATATTATTTGCAATCAACACTCCTGTAAAGTTGGACATGACCTATGTGGGGTGGCAGGTAATAATGCTTCAAGGAGGGCCTTACATACGTTATGACTCATGTCTTTGTGTTGTTTGTATTGTGGACACATGATTGATGCCAAGAATTAGTTCAAAAGAACTGCATAGTGTATACACTAACTACATGATTTCAGGAAGAGATGATTATATGTACATATATTGTACGTAGTTGTAAGAATTGGTTTATCATGTGGAGAAGAAAAGATAGGATTTCATATCACCAAATCTGGAATATTGGTCGGGCAAAAGTATAGTCAAAATGGTTTATTATTGTATTTGAGCAAATGGAAAGGACTTTGAGACAGCTTAACACTAGCAAGACAACTTTTAAGTTAAATGTTAAAGAAAGACTAGGGGCGTTTTTGGGAGTTGGGAGAGTAAAAGGTGAAAGGGGGCGCAATGGCAATCCCCCTTTATTCACGGAGACTTTCTGCACTCCCCACCATAATTGCCTGTTTTACAAAATATCATCACTTCTACAATAAACAGTACTCTCTCTTTTTTAATATTAGGGAAGAGTATTTTGATTTGTCTTATGTTTCGCGTAGTATAATTTTTTAATTAACCAAAAAAAAATTTAAAAGTATTTAATAACAATCAAGTAAACACAATTAGTGTGAAAATATATTTTTAAGGTTTTTTTATTGAAAAATACATATTAGGCGAAATTTAGAATAAATCAAAATGTCTTTTATTAAGGATTGGAGGGAGTACAATAAAATCTAAATTTACAAATTACAAAATGTGATTAAATTTTACTTCTCAATCTTATACTATCAATTAAAAGAAATAAAAATACTTTAAATCTTTATCAACACTTGTGATTAAAGTAGGAACGACGGAGAAGTATATATCACCAATACTAATAAAAAAACAAAGGTCACAGAGCAAGTGTGAAACTATATATTATATTATTGAGGAATGAAGGAGGCAAGTTCAGCTAGTATTTATTACATTTTTTTCAGGAAAAAAAAAAAAACAACTAGTATACATTCCATCCGTCTCCAAGAAAATATTCATCGGGCATTTTAGTCTAACAACTGGAGTATGAACCATTTTTTTTTAATTTGGCCTGATGAATAGTTTAATAAGGTTTTCATGTGTATATTTTATACGTACGATTGTGGCCTTTTTCTTCTTTTTTTTTGGAAAAAAAAGTGATACTGGAAATTGAACCTGACTATTTGGTTATTCGTAATTTGAGCCCTAAATTTATTTTTATTTTTTGAGTAAATTTGAGCCCTAAATTTAAGTGAGTGCTCCATAAGCAATGGCATACTGTCTCTTTAACCTTTTGACTCTACTCAAAATTATCCAACTTTGCGGATTAATCGAAGAATTCCCTACATGATTTTTATTTTTATTGATTTTTAAATTTTTATTCTTTTATGATGAATTGACAATAGTCTTCTTATGCACCCATAAATTATCTTTTCACTTTAAATAAGATTGGATCACTTAAAAGTTACCACCATCAAGTTATTATCAAATTTAAAATCGTTTTTGGATTTAATTTACCAAAGACACACAATGTTGTAGTTTTTAATCAAAAGTACTCCCTTCGAACTTTATTATAAAACATTTTGATCTGTCTTAAAGTTCTAATTTGTTTTTTCGATTGAAAGAAAAACTTTAAAACTACATTTTCACATTCATGATCCATTGCGTTCTCTTAATTATTAGACACTATTTTTAAGATTTTTTTTCCCAATTGAAAAAACATACTAGATAAAATCTAGGATAAATCAAAATGCTTAATAAAAAAAACCGGAAGGAGTATATTTTAATTCGATGAAATGATGGAACAATGAACGAAACCATCAATCGTAATACATTTTTGTTAAAGAAAAATAAAAAAGAAAGTTTTTTTTTTAAAAAATGAATTGTCCCTAGTGATAAACGAATTCTCAACCTCCTAGTAATAAATATCTCCTATCCTAATCCCTTAATCACTCCACCCTTCCTTCCCACCAAAAAAAAAAAAAGATAGAAAGCTTGCTAAAGACCATGTCCATTTTTTTCACTCATAGTTTCAACTTGCATTTTTGTAGTTTGGACATACTTTATTTGTTTCAAAGTTGTTATTCATTTTAGTCTTTCACTTTTAGTTCAATTTGAAAAAAAGAAAAAAGAAAATTTAAATTGGATTATAGTTTTAGGTAGGGAGAGTATTTCTTAATAATAATTTGGGAATAGGTTCATCATGAAGTATATACCGCTGGTACTGCTATATATAGTATTTGTGTACCTCGTACCGTTGTACGGAAAGTACGCACAGGGTGTACAGAAGTTTGGGTACGTAGAGGGTAGAAATTAGAAAGTAAACGAAGCTTGGTTCTAACAACTTTTGGAGGTGAAGTGTAAAAAAAAAAAAATGATTTGATTGATGTGCTTGAGTGGGCCAAATATTATAACGTGGCTGATTAATTTTTTTTTTTATGAGGGGAAGGACATGCAATTTATTATGGGAATTCTCATGGCAGACAAACATAAACATGATCATCATTCCATCATCTATTAAACTGGACCAGGGGGTAGTTCCATTCATTAGGTCCACAAAACTGACAGAAAACATGGACGAATCCCCAGCAATTTGCTCAATCGAATTCCCTAAACAGGACTGGGAGAATCAAGTACCAGAAAAAGTTAAACAGAAGAAAAGAAAAAAAAAAATAATTAAAAGACATTTGGACCAACCTTGAGACAAGTCTTTGATTCCGTTTCACCTTTGGTTTTTTAGTCCTTTTCAAAATAGGGTGTCCCATCTATTTAGTCCCTAAAGTATTTTTCAGTATAATTTTTGTCTCTAATATTTTTTACG